TATATATATGTATATTCTGTAATATATATGAATATACTGAATATACAAAAATATACAAAAAATATATACAAAAAAAATCTGTATGCCTTTTCATAACTGTCTATTGTTGTCACTGTTGTCCATTGTTGTCATCATTCTTTGTTGAAATCAGGTCTCTCTTGTAAATGAGTCCTCGAGGCTCAATGGGATTAACCTGTCTAAATAAAGGTTGCATGGATGGATGGATGGATGGATGGATGGATGGATAGCTTCAGTTGTGTGTTTATGGTACTTTCTATATGGCGAGTAAATACATTCCTTGTCATATGTTCCACATATGACTAGATAAAGTAATTTTAATAAATATAAAACATTAAAATGGGAGTTAATGTTTGTGAAATTCAAGTTTGACAGCACCATGTGACTAGGCTTTAAGTTTTCGTCGTTTCACTATTTCCAATGTTAACATTTCACATGAATGTTTATTAGTCTTCTAAATGCTAAAACTTTTGCTGCACCAACCCCCTGTGCAAAAAATATAACTAATTAAATTAAATAAATAAATAATAACATGGTACAACAAACCATTGCCTTTTTCTTTTTTTTTCTTCTGCCAGTCTTTACGTTTTAGAAATACATATTGGAATGAGTAGTTTTTTTTTGTTTTTTTGTTCAGGCCATGTAAAAGTGGTGCATAGCCATATGTCATTGCAGCAATCAATTGGTACTTAAGTAGAACACAAAGCTGCATTGGCATGAGCCCCATGAGATACGGCTGTCCACTGCTGGCTCAGGGCTGGGAATCTACGACAGTAACACTGCTCGTCTACATTTTCCCCTTATCTACAGATCAAATAGCTCCACCTTTCTACGTTTTCAGCTATTCTGTTTCAGGCCTTTCTTCTAACATATCTGACACATTGTCTTGACACTCTCTTTGAAGTCTTTTAGCAGATTCTTCTTGGAAATGGTGATATCTGGTGGGAGCCCTTAAACATCAAATATTTATAAATGTTTTGGATCGCAATTAAAGGGACTTCTGAGATCTTTGGGGTACATATACAGCACAATGTTTTTAAATTTAAAATCTGCCCGTAGACATGACTAGACTTAGATTAAAGAGTCTCTCTAATAAAAACATGTCAAATTATAATTAATAATACCCCTGGACAGTGCAGTTTAAAAATATATATATATATTATTTTATTCTTATGAGTCTGTCAAAGATTAGAACAATATTTCTTTGTTCCATGGTTTTAGCTTTGTGAACTGTGGACAAATCAAACCTGCATTCAGGGCATATACCTTCTTTGTATACAACATTGTATACAAATGTATGTGGTCTGAAAACACAGATCATTGTTTACAACTGATCAATATGACTGAAGATGAATCCAATTATGTTGCACAGCAGCTCCTTGTGATATTTTACTTAATAAGTTCCCACAGCCAGACATTTCGTTTGCGGTTTAAAAAAGGCTTACCGGTATATTTAATATAAAGTATACAGTACCATGTCAGTCATAAACATTTCCTCTCAGTTTTAGAAGTGAGGAGTCAATTGCAGATGTAGATTTAGACCTAAATAGTGAGATGGAAATATTATTCATTTTTTGATGTGACTGAAAATTGTTAGCATGAGAAATTACAAAATGGATAAGTGTTGCTGTTTACTCCTGGGTGTATTTGTTGCTCTTTTTCTGCACTAAAATGTTCTTAGTCTATATTTACACCAATAACTTAATCAAAACCCCTGGGAAAGAGATGGCATATCTTGATGAGACGTTTACGCTCAAACTAAAGCATAAATAAAATACAATAACAACAAATTCAACTTTCCCAAGCACCTGTGTAATACAGGACTTCAAACAAATCTTAAAAAGAGCAAAACTTGATTCTTGAGAACTTTGAACTTTGTTTGAAACTTTTAATAAATAAAACCTCAGGCCCCCATGCCACATGCAGTTCTTCAGATTTGCCTTGTAAGCCCCTCCCATCAGAAGTGTTGTCATAGCAACTACAGAGGTGGTGACTAACTCAGATTTGAAACTCTCAGCTTAAATGGTTTATCTCATTTCAATCACTGCCCTTATAAAAATTGCCAACTAAAATAAATTGTTGTTGTTATTATTAAG